TCGTCATGGGTGATGGGCATTCTCCCTGCGGAAGGGAGTTCCAAAGGTGTGGAACCACCACTGAGAAAGCCCTGCTTGAGCATGCTTAGAGGGTGAGATAGAAATCCCTGAACGAAATCATTTTGCCTCCAAATAAACATTTGGCAACTTCATTATGCACACACAGGTTTGTACCCCAGTCCAAAAGTAGCTCCTTCGGCTTCTCTCTGCATTCTGCTGCAGACCTTCCCCTGCGTTTGCACAGCAGCTTGTCTGGCAGCACGGGTCCTGCTCTCAGAGGCATGGCTGTGCCTGAAGGGGCTGACCGCACTGGTCTTTACATCGTGGGATGTTGGATGACTCATTCTGGAGCGCAGAACCTTAGAACACCTGCCAGTGCCTGTACAAAAGCTCTCCGTGATACAGTCAGGCAGCCCGTCCCCTCCTAGTAGTGGTGGGACCCATTCTAGTCCTTGCGTAGTCAGAACTGCAACAAACTGTTGCAGAAGGGGGGCTCCATTCCAGTCCCTCTGTGCCTTGCGTTTCCATTTTCTCCCCTGCGGTCAGTCAGCTTTCTGACATGCCCAAATCCTCTTGTGCAGTTTTAGCTTTCCTCTCCTTTCACCCACAGTGGGTCGGATCCAGAGGTAAGCATGTGCAGCTGCTCTGGCAGAAGTGGACTTCCCCACCCTCTCCTCAAGACAGCCCCTCTGCCCCCTGAAAACGCTACACAGAGCAGGCAGGAGGCCCTGCTGAATAGGGCAAGCTGTGGGGTGTGTGGGGAGGAGGGGTCCCCGAAAGGCAGGCAGAGGGACCTTCCATGAGTGGAATGCCACCCCTTAAGAAAGCTCCCTTCCTTTCATGGAAGGCAGATCCTGGATCCAGCCTGGCCATGCCTTTTGTGCTTCTGCAGACACGAGGGTCTCCTAACCCTTTGCAGCCCCCTGTTGCTACTGAGAGGGGGTCTTCTGGATTCCCCGAGGACCAGCAGTGAGGAAAGTGAGTTCCCCTTCACATACAGGATAGCCGAAGGCAGAACATTCTGCTCCTGCTGTGGCTGCACCAGCTGAAAATCCAGAGATGCTTTGCGAGAGCCGAGACGAGCATGCACTCTGATTATAAATAGCCACTGCGGCCTCTCTTCATTTTTCAGCTTCAGGGAAGAAATATGAAATGTGTATAAATAAAAGCACAAAGAGAGCAAAGACATATGGGCTCGAGCGTAATGACTTGACTTCTTATTCTTCAGATACTCTTTTCCAGGAGGGGACCATTCCATCACCGCCTTGCCATCCTGGGGCTGTCTTCCTGTACCACTCCTGCTCTTGGGGAATGTTCGCAACACACGGGGGAGACGGCTGCTCGAGAGGGAACTGTGGGCTGCGGGGGCGGGGGGGATAGCTGTGCTTTCTTAGAGCACCATAATGGAGCCCTTCATGATGTCTTCCAAGTGGAGGATACAGGAAGCCACCTGAAACCAAATCAGACTAATGATGCACCTCATCAGGGATGCAGGACCTCAGGCCCAGGGAACAAACCAGCCCTCTGGGGATGCCAAAGGCCACGCACTCTTCTGCTGCCCCTGCCTTCTTCCGGCCCTCAGTGATTTCCCCATTTCTGTGAAGTTCCCCCCTCCCCAATGGATCTCCTAATCATGGGTTGTAAACCAAGGCTTGCTTAGTTTAAGCAAAAATATGCATGTGGTTGTTTTCGGCCCTGTGCTTTTTGCAGTCAGCCTCTCCTACCAACAGCTTCAGAGGGTGGGGTACCTTCTTCTTGCCCTCAGTTTCTGTGTTTGAGTTGACTTTTTTGCTTCCTGAATGAACATGTCCAAGACAAAGAAGACAGTGGTCATCCACAAGCAGAGCTTGAAACCATTATTTTAAAAGGAGCATTTTTAAATGACATTTTGCCAATCAAGTACTTGTTATATTAGATTTCCTTTTTTTAAAGCCTCCTTAAATGCAGTCTGAAATGGTAAGATTTATGTCAAAACTACTGGTTGCATATGGATCCAGTTAATATTAAGAACCTTCTAACCCATGACAGGGCAGAACAGGGAGTGTTGTGTTGAAGATGTTCTGTGGCAATTGATGTGGACAAGAAGTGTGCGATCTTCTGTCTTCATGCAGGAGAGAAATTTAAGGCATAACCTCATGCAAGTTTAGGCAGGAAAAGCACTACAGTTCCCAGCATGGCTGACCAGGGAATGTTGAGACCTGTCTGAATATGAACAGGATTGTGCTCTTACTTTGGGGCTGCTGAACTAAGCCATCAGATGCATGATTTGCTTTTCTGATAGTTCTGAATTATAAACAGTGCCTGGCTTTTAAACCTGGTTATTTTTTAGAAGAATGTGCAAATACAGAAAGACCTCCGATGTTTCATTTCCATTTATTTCATCTGTTACATTTCTATCCTACCAGTAGCCAAAGCAACCCTGTGGTTCTGTGCGACATTGCGCATGCACACAAATACAAAACCTGGTTTTCATGTGGCTTGTTCACCTTGTGGCAAGAGGGAAAGCATGTGAAACAAATGGTGATGCTTTCCGTGTTTTTCCTCAAATTCGCACGTGAACTTGCCTCGAGCGCAGCCTGGGCCTTACGCCGTGAAGCTGGCTGGCTGGCTGGCTGACTGGCTGGCGATCCTGGGGCAAGCAGAGGGAACGGAGACCTCAGTGTGCATAAGACAAAAGTGACAAACAGCGTACGGGTTAATAAGGTGGAAGATGGAGCGCTCTGTTCAGTGGTGAATGGCAAGGCTCCTTATGGTTATTGTAAAACATTTCTACAGTGCTGTAAATTCCCTCCATCCCTTGCTGAGAATCAATAAAATGCATCCCCACCCTCACGAGTGTACAGCTGAAAGACGTCTTACATGGTAAATCACCCCGAGAGCTGTGGATGTCTTGAAAAGTGGGAATTCTGGCAGAATTTTCTGCTGTCCACAGAACAGCAAACAGCATGGGCCTGGTTTTGTCCTCCGTTCCCAACCTCAAGAATCTGGTTCAGGCAATCTAAAAGCAGCAATTAATAGCAAAGACATGTAAATCACTTCTTCCCCCCAGTGCCCCTGCTCAAGTTGCCCAATGCACCTGCCATCATGGATGGTACTCTGGTTTAAGTCCTGTTCATCTCTGTGAGCGTACTCTAAATCGGACTAGCATTGAATACCACCTTGCCTTGATTAGGGTTCTCGGCATCTGTCCCATTTGCTTCAGCACAGAGGCTTAGGTCCTAACTTCCCATGGATGGGACCCTGTTGCAGGATACTCCAGCACCAGGGTTGGGCGGCTGGGGAGAGAGATTATTTCTTACCAGTACTTCTCTCCTCCTGCAGCTGCCTGAGCTCTGAAAACCTGCTCTGGGGGGTTTGGGAACCAGAGGTTGCAGCAGGACTTGTTGAAACTGTCTCCTGTTTCTGTCAGCGACACCCAGAGGAGAGTGACAGTGTTAGAACCACTTGCTAGAAGACATCCTTGTTTGGTTCAACTTAGAAGGACTTTGTCTGTTTTGATGATGAGTGCGTTTTTGTTAATAAATGCTTACTCTGTTTTGGGATTTTGTAAAAAGCAGCAACCCCTTTTTTTCCAGAGGCATTTTGCTCCTTGGAAACTTGAAGTCCCACAGTCCCACATATTCAGTCCCACATATTCCTGGCTCTTCTCTTTTGATTCTGACCTGCTTGTTGTCCCCACTCAGCACCATTCCTCCCCACACATGTGACAGGAAATCAGAAGGCATGACCACTTTCAGCCCACGTTAATGTGGTCAGTTCCACCAGAGGGGATCGTACATCCAGGCAGGCGAGTCTCCAGATCATCATTCACTCACAACCTTCAAAAGCCCAGACTGAGCTCAAACGCAATATGGTAACTTGTGACTTGGAGTCACACTGAAACCATCAGATGGTTGCAGTTTCCTGATAGATAGCCATGTCTCTGTTGCTGCACCTTCAAGACTAACACATTTTATTTTGGAATGAGCTACCATGCATCTGGTGAGTGCACTCTTGTCTGTGAAAGCCTAGGCCGTAATCCAGTTTGAGCATTTCCATTACATGATTGGTTCACGGTATTGAAAATACCCAAAAGTTTGCGTAAGTCCCCTTAGTTGCATTATGAGAGAAAAACAGTCTTGATTTGTGAAAGTGTGATATCACCTGAGAACAGGAGGAAAGTCGTGCAGGATCAGAGCCAAGGTCCATCCAGCCCATACACACAGTGGCAAGCAGCTGCTCCCAGGATGCCTCAAGCAGGATGGGTGCAAGACCTCCTCCTGCCCATGCTCCTCAGCAGCTGGTCCATGCAGGCATGCCGGCTCTGGTAAAGGAGGGAGCACATAGCCAGCAAGGCTAGGAGCCACAGATAGCCTCCTCCCTCATGAATCCGTCCTATCCCTTTTTGAAACATCCAGGCATCACCACTCCCCATGGCAGCAAATTCCATAGTTTAACTATATGCTGAGTGAAAGCATGCTTCCTTTTATCTGTACTAAACTTCTCATCAGTCAGCTTCATGGGATGACCCAGGGTTCAAGGAAGAAAAATGTCTCCCTCTCTGCTTTCTCTGCACTGTGCATTATTTTAACACCTCTGTCATGTCTCCTCTTGCCATTTTTCTAAGACCTAGTTTGAGATTAGAGGGGCCAGGTGTCCTACCTGACAGAGGATAGTTGTCTGTCTGAAGGGCTGGCAGGGGACAGTCCTCTGGTTCCACATTCCCTCTGCTTGAAGGGCTGTTCCCTCCAATGCCTGATTATAGATAAAAACCACAAGAAGGGAAAGGCCTCGGGGTGAGTTGCACATCAATGGACAACAGCTGACCGAGCTGCACAACAGTCAGCTGGTCACAGTCCTCCCCACTATGCTCAGATGTTCTGTAGAGCTTCTCTCCAAATTTGCATCCATCCACAAGCACAAACTAGCGTATGTAAATAGGACGCAAATGCCACATGCCTCCTCTGTGGCCCTTGCATTTGCAAGCCCCTGCTCAGCCGCCTCCCCTCTCCCTTCTGCAGATGGGATCCACAGTGTGACTGCCCAGTGTGTCCTGCGCGTCATCATCATCACCGAGGACATGCTCGCCAACAGCATCACCGTCCGCCTGGAGAACATGTGGCAGGAGCGCTTCCTCTCACCGCTGCTGGCCAGCTTCCTCGAGGGCGTGGCCACCGTGCTGGCCACCCCCAAGGAGGATGTCTTCGTCTTCAACATCCAGAATGACACCGACGTCGGCGGGCAGGTGCTGAATGTCAGTTTCTCGGCCATGGCGCCCCGCAGCGGCCACTTCTTCAGCTCGGAGGAGCTTCAGGAGCAGCTGTACATGAAGCGCATGACCCTCACCTCGGTCTCCATGCTGGAGGTGCTGCCCTTTGACGACAACGTTTGCCTTCGCGAGCCCTGCCAGAACTACATGAAGTGCATCTCCGTGCTCAAGTTCGACAGCTCGGCTCCCTTCATCGCCTCCCTCTCCACCCTCTTCCGACCCATCCACCCCATCACGGGCTTGCGCTGCCGCTGCCCCCAGGGCTTCACCGGAGACTACTGCGAAATGGAGATCAACCTCTGCTACTCCAACCCCTGCCGCAATGGCGGGATCTGCACCCGCAAGGAGGGCGGCTACACCTGCCTCTGCCGCCAGCACTTCACAGGTAAGGGCTCGATCGTCCGTGGTGGAGGTGGGGTGCTGTGCTTGGAGATCTCACTGTTTGCCCAGGGATGAGACTTTCTGATCTTGGACCCTTCTGTGAACATGCATACAATCAGGGAAAACAGCACTGCCCAACCTGATGCCCTCTGGATGGACTGCACTATGACTCCCATCATTCCCAAGTACTGGTTGGACTAAGGCTCTCATCATCGCCAGTCAGCTGGCTGGGGATGATGGGAGTCATAGTTCAACCCATCCAGAGGATACCAAGTTGAGGGCAGTAGCGGTAATGTCTGTGCCAAAAGGATCCACTTGCTTCAGTTGAGGATAGTCAAAAGTATCTGCATGATTTTTGTTTGTTTTCCTTAATTCAGAGGCTTTTTCATTTTTAAAAAGATAGTGTTTAAGATCAATATTGCACATAAGCAGATTTGTCAAGCAGAAAAAATTTCCTTGAGTCGCAAAATCTTTTGCAAGAGCTGATGTTGCAATGAACTGTGACCAAAACAAATGCATGCCCTCATTCATACTCTCTTACAATGTATTGCTTTGTTTCATTAAAAGCTTCACTTATTAGGCAGTTTAACAGTATAGAAAATTAAGTAAAGAATTTATCAGTCTCCAAATCTGATAAACCCACTAAGACAGATAGTCAATGCTGTGTCCAGATTGAAGGGGGGTGGCAGCTGAGGGGGTCCTTCTCTTCGGTTCTACTGCTATATGCTATAAGGGGAATTACGATTGATGTTCCCCATTACTGGGGATACTACTTCTCTATGTTCATCCTGCTACGTTCTGTCCATGTCTATATTCTTTATGAGGCATGTATTCTGTACTTGTAATTCATCGCTCATGGTTGTTTGTGGGTGCCTGACACATCATTGTTACTCTCCAGGGCCTCTCTTGTGCTTTGCAACCATTTCTGCGTTTGTTTAATGGAGGGAAATCTGGTATCAAAAATTACACTATGAAAAGTGTACGTATTTTTGCATTACTGCAGTGCCAGCTTGTGGTTGTGTAGTGCAACATGTAGACAGCCAAAGAAAGACAACCCTCGGGCGTGGGGGGAGACATGTAAAGGAGTAACTTAAGTCCCACAAAGTTCCAAAGAATCTGGAAGCAGAAGCCTTAGTAAAGTGGCAGGTAAAAAAAATCTCTTGTAGAGAAGCCCCTTAATACAAAAACACCACATATCCATTATTCTGAAAACTAGTAGGCTAAATCTCCTTAGAAGAGGCAACGATCCCTGTGATGTTCATATAATTCTGCCAAGAAAGAAAGGTTATTGACAACTCCCTTTAGAAGATAAAAACAATCAATCAATATATCAGGGTGTGGGACAGAATTCCCCCTCCCCCACAAGACCCCTACACCTGTTTTTCTGCAATTTCGCAAGGTATAATGCTCTCCTGAAGAGCTACTGTGTCTGCAAATAGCATCTAATTCTGACCAGGCGCGGGAAGAAAAGGTTATAAGTTATCTATCTGATGTCCCATGATTATCCAGCTAAGGAGGCACAACTCCTCAGATTCTGGAAGCTCAGTTCAGGGTCAGGGTCTGAGTTCAGGACCAAAGTCAAAGGATATGGATCCTGAATTAGCCCAAACCAAATCAGGTGGTGTTCGAAGGCATCAAATTGGTAGGCTGAGTTGAATTTTGGGCTCAGGATATATCACTACAGAGATCAAGAAAGAAAGATCGGGAGAGAGGGAGAGAGTTCTCTGACATTCATTGATAAAGTAAGTGGTGCAACTTTTGTGAAGTAAAGAGAAAAGACAATGCTCATATTTTTGCAGATTTCAGAATATACCTGGTTCCTTCCCCAAATCCCATCAGTGTCTGCTGGCATGGCCAATGAATCGCAACCCAAAGAATTTTATTTTTATCATTACATTTCTTTATTGCAGCATTTTGTGCTTCCTTTTGGCCAACAGATCCCCAAGGCAGTGTACAACACAACACTGAAAAAAAGGCTTTAACAGCAAGCGTTAAAATGGAGCAACAAATGGCATGTGAATGGAGTAGTGCCAGCTTCCAGATTTGGAGGGACCTCGGGCAGGACACTGCCCATGGGCACCTTCTGCTTCCGTGCACTTGCCGGACCTTTTTCCCATGCTTGGTCCCGCCTAGGAAGTGAGCCGAGCTGAGGTCAAGTCTGTGAACCCTTGGGAATGCCTACTGGCTTCTTTACACAAGGTACACAAAGTTAAGTCATTCTGTGTGCAAAGTACACAAAGCCCCCAGGTCACATGCACAGAAGCTTGGACTTCGGGGACAGAGAAGGAGGGCCAGAGTCCAGGGCACCAGGGAGGAAATCCATCAGATTCTCACCCCCAGACCAGATTCCTCAGACATCACTGGAGCCTACCTTGTCTCCAGCTGCTCCATCTCTCTTCCCTTCTCAACAGGCAGAAAGCCAGTGAGCAAGAGGCCACGCCATCTGCTGCTCCTCCTCCACACCAGCACCGTTTCCCAGGCCACAGCAAGAGGGAGCTTGTAGTGGTGAGGAAGAAGAAGCTCTTCAGGGTCTTTTCAGTGGGTTCTCAGCCACCCTTGCAGTGGACCCTGGAGTGGAACCAATCACTGAACACTGAGCAAAGCAAAAAAAAAAGGCTTAGCTGCCCTCCAGGAGCCAGCAATGAAAGAGCTAGGCTACTATATCCTGGGGGTGGGGGTCCCACAGTCAGTATACTGTTGCAGAAAAGACCCTGTCCCTTGATCATCCCAACCTGGCCTTGTTAGGAGGTGGCTATTGGACAGAATCTTCTACATGGGCAGACTGATTTATTTATTCATTTATTTTTGGATTTATATCCTGCCTTTTTCCTACAAAGGGCTCAAGGCAGCTTACATCCTCCTCCTCCTCCTCCATCTTATCCCCACAACAACAACCCTGTGAGGTAGGTTGGGCTGAGAGTCTGTGACTGGCCCAAAGTCACCCAGTTGGCTCCATGGCTGAGTGGGGACTCGAACCCAGGTCGTTTGCGTCCCAGCCCCATGATCTTAACCACTACCCCACACTGGCTCACCACTGATATGGATATTTTACATAGGGACTTAGGGACAGAATGTAGAAAGGAAACAAAACTGATCATAGTAGATATAGAAAAGGAATAACAGGGACATAGTGATGGTCCCATGCCACTGAGGGATCAGACTGATCAGAGACAGGACACCCATCATCAGATCTTTCATTTTCCCATAAAAGTAGCCTTGCCCCGCCTCAACTGGAATGAGCTAAGGTCAACCATTTTTAGAGAAGAGATCCAAATGTCTCTTCCTTTTTCCTAGGGGTCTGTGGCTTATTGACAGATTTTAGTATGAATTAGCAGCAAGTCTACAGGCATCAATTCCATGTGCAACTGATTCTACTTCTTCTTTGGTGGCTTTCTCAGGTGTGAGGGAGGTAATGTTTATGAACATTAGAAGGGAGACCAGTCCTAGGTTCCAAAGGAATTACAGTAGTCAGATAATTAAATTTTTAAATTATTTATTGGTGAAATCGAAATAACACACAATCCGAATGGCATAGGACTACCTAGATGCATTATGGGTGACACACTATTTTCATCATTTAGATAGCTGCAACATTATCCAAAACCAGAATGATTGGACATATAATAACCATAGAATCCTATACTGGTCTCCTCAGATATTTATAGGATTGTATGGTTATCCTACTAATTCAGCACAGCTTAATTCCAGCTAAGTGGGCACAGGATTGCAGGCACAATAAGTAAACAGTGAAAATTCACTTGATTAAATTGAATAACAAAGCAAATAGGATAATTAGATGAGGAGTGGAAAGGAAGGATAATAGAACATTTTAAATCATACAATTTCCTTCATGAACAGACTCATGCTCATCGTTCCATTAAATCCAGAATTAAAAAAAGCTATATAAAATCCTTCACAACTTCTTCCTCCCTCCAGACATTTTGGGCTGCATGTTGGCTGATGAGAGTTGCAGTCCAAAATACCTGGAGAACCCTGGGTTGTATAAGGAGGATATATAGCACCTGGAACTAAGGGGATCATGTTAGAATTCCGCTTTTTAAATCTGAAGGTACAGTTCTGCAAACAAAAGACCGTATTATCAACATGAGATTTCTTTTAATACTGAGAGTCTCTCTCTCTCTCTCTCTCTCTCTCTCTCTCTCTCTCTCTCTCTCTCTCCACACACACACACACAAAGATTGAGAATCAGTCTTTCCAAGAGGGATGGCAAATTCAGCTTATGTTAATCTTAAAGAGAATTATGCAATGCTAATTTATTGGTTGTATTTGATCCCACAAAGAATATGACAATATTTATAGAAAAAATAATGGTGGATGTCAGAAATATGTTCTGCCTTTTTGCATATGTGTGGTCATGTTTGAAAAGAGCTATAAATAGAATGATTAATTACGCTTCAGTTTTTAGATCCAAAAATATTGTTGGAACTATTTCATTCACAGGTTTCAAGAATTCATCAGCTAAGGATATTGAATCTATTCCCAGCAGCAAAGCTGGCTATTGCCAAGAATTAGAAAAATGCTAAACATGTAGGGTCGGATCCAGATTTTAGCTGGATACTGAGCTGGTGGAAGTGGGCTTCCCAGGTCAGCCACTTCAGTCTCCTGAAAATGATATACAGAAAGTCAGGGAGCACTGATGAATGGCAGAAGCTGTGGAGGTGGGTAGAGGGTAGAATCCCGCAAAATCTGGCACAGGGATCTTATGTGAGCAGAGCTCCCCTCTCATGGGAGGCAGACTCTGCACCTGGCCTGTCATCATGTATGGCAAAGCGTACAAATAGTTTAGTTGAGGGTATAGTAAACAATGATACCCTGAATTTGTTCAAGAATATCATCTATGTACCAAGCAGTGATTTTAAATTTTTATTTCATTTCTTTATTTTAGAACATGTTTCATTTCCCATCTTAAAAATTTCAGATTGGTTCACAAAATATTGAAAAACAATGCATCAATATAATAACATAAATGTTACCTCTTTTATT